TTTGCGTTGTGTTTGTGGCTGCTGCTGTCATTTTTGTGCTCACGTGTGTTCTGGCTTGCTTGGTTGAGGACATAGGGTGTAGGGTTGTGTTCTTTGCTGCAGCTGTAACTGTTTCCATTGCCTGGGTTGTAGCTGTAGTTCTGTTGTCTGATGCTGTTGTGGGTACCTCTGTGGGAGGTGTCTGTCTGGTGACTTGTATGGTGGGTGCCCCTGCCTGGGTTGTTGTGCGATGGTCTGGTGCTGTTGTTGCCTGGTGCTGGTCTGTTGTCTGCACAGTTGTTCTATGGCTTATTTGTGTTTTAAGAGAGCCAGTGCTGTTACCATGAACTGTGGTGCCTGGCTGGGGTGAAGAATGATAAAAGGAAAGTGGCTGAGCAGAAGTAGCTGTGTGGTGGAAGGATGTGGTTTCTGGAGACAGTTCGACCCCCAGGGCCTCTTCGGCAAAGCAGGAGGAAAATGCTGCAAAGAAACAAATTAGTCAGTGGTCTGCAAGCCTTTACATTTAACTTTTTTGTTGATACCCACAACATAATAACTGCACTGATTTTGCTATCAAATGGATGATATGATTTTATTCTTCATTTGGGTCTAGTCATGACAGGAGGGTGAAAGCACACCTGCTGTAGGACTGTCCCTAACTTTTCACCACTCCTCCGATCTTCACACCTCTGAATATACCCACTGCAGCAGAAACAGGTTGGCTCCTGGCTCCCCACACACTGCTTTTACTGCTGAAGAAGCCAGAGGTGTGAGCAGACCTCGTACAATCCCCACGCAGCACGGCAATTCCCCTACAGGCAGCAGTACAGCAACATTTGCTAGAGGCAAATTATCAGGGTCTAAGGAAGATGAAGTGAGTGTAACAGGTGAAGGGGTGGTTGGTTACTTACCAAAGCAACAAAGCATGGGGAAAGGGAACATTTTGTGTGTGTGAAGGAAGTGAGGCAGCGTAATGGTCTTACAGTGATTCACAATATACTGGGAAACCAATCTGGGAGACAGGGAAATTCCAGACATTTATTTATGATTTTGTTGTAGCCATGCTGGATTGAACCCTGAAGTTCTTCCTCCTGGGAGGTCCCAGGGGGATGCTCCAAACAAAGAAAGATCAGCCCTCTTCATGATGCTCTTTCAGCAATAAGAAACGAATTTCAGGGTACACCATCCAGGGGCTTTTTGGACCACATCTAAAAACAGTCACAGCACCAAAATTACACTTGCATCCTATAACATTTACAGAAGCATGACCCTTGCAGAACTGAAAATGAAATTCCTGGCTTCTAAATGTAAATGATGAAGAAAAAGTGGGAAAAGTACATTGTGGAATAGATGAAGGTCACAACTCTTCTACATGAATCTTTGATTTTGAGTATGCAACAAGACTCTGTAAAGACAAGGTCAAGCTAAAAGAAATCGTAAATCACTGACATATATGAATTTCAAAATGGGCATGAAGCTTCAGGTGTAGTTAAATGCTTTACTGCCTAAATTAGCTGGAGGACAGTGATTAATTCCCCAGTTCAGAGACAGAAGGGACCCAAAAGTCCAAGACAGCTCACATTCTTAGTGGTAGAGCTCGACAGAGGATGCCACAGCACACTGAGAAGTTTATTGTATGCTGTTTTTTTCCAAAGAAATATCTCATGACTTGGTATCAAAGCTTCATGGCAGGCAGGTTGCTGAGATTTGGATTTTAGGATTGATTAAGGCCAGAGGCACATTCAGAATAGAAATGGCTGAAATCTCACAAGTTCATCTTCTTTTTTTTATTTATTTTCACTCAGCATGAACAGAGATCTGCAACAATGGCTGAATTCACAAAATCCCACCATTTAAGGATACACATAGACTATATCAGAATAATAAAACCTACTGGGTCAAGATCAAAATGAAAGAAGTGAGAACAGATGTATAGATCTGAACCCACACTTCAATTCTCCCTTAAAATGGCTATGCTAGATGAGAGCAGAAGTGAAGATGTACACTCCATACTCCTAAAATTGCCTGGGTTTCACCTCTTTCCCCTAGACTTTACCACACCGGCTGGCAGAACTGAAGAGCAGGTAACTTATCTCCTTTCCTGAGTGCTCACATCAGTAGCGCCAGTGGAAAATCAGAGAAGTTGCATATACCAGCTGTAGGCAGTTGCGTGTAAGTGTACTGGCATGATAAAAACAAAAAAGAAGAAGTTGCAATTTCCACCTTTTTTTTCTACCCCCATAAGATTGCAAAATAATACATATTTAAATATACATACATCCTAAATAGTCAGTACCTCTTAGTTTTCATCAGTTAACAGATTGGTTTTGATTACTGACCAGATAGTACTTTTCTTACAGACGTATAGGGAAATGTTATTTCACTAACATTGGATGCTGCCCATAGCTTTTAAATGAAACTTCATTTTCCCCAAAAATAGTATTTCAAGCTAACTATTTTCCTCTAGTGAAACATCCATCCTGACAGGGCCACTGAGAGGTAAAGTCAGAAAAGTCTTTGAGGTGGCCCATGTGTCACCTCGGCTTCGAAGTTGTGCGTCACAAATGCCAAGGGCTGTGTTTCTGCCCCTCAAGCCTCCACGCATGCAATGCCTCAGAACAAAATTCTCAGAAAGGAACTAGTGCAGCTCTCAGAAATTCACTGTCCCCAGTCTGGCCCTGTAGACCGTGTTTTCATGCTTTGGTGACCGGGAGGTTTGGTCAATGCCAGCAAAAGAACGTCACCACCCTGCTCCCAGGCCTTACGGTGGGCGGAGGAGCACTCAGTGCTGTGGTCTGGCTGTGACATTTCTCTGCCGTCCTGTGAGGGAGCAGGTAAAAAATTCTTGCTGGGGACTTTTCCCCCTTCTCGTCCAACCACGCCCTGCTGCTCAGCCACCCAGCGGCTTTGTTCCACTTTACGCTGCCCAGAAGAAACACCCATGTTTAGCTGACTGGTTTCATGTGGACACAAAAACCCAACCTGGCTCCTACAATCACTGAAAATGCTCTCACTGGCTCTGGCTGCTTTGGTTTGAGTCCTTGAGGAACTGGAAAAGCACCAAGGTTTTCTAAAAGGTTTTGGTACTGTCATAGCTCCCCTCTAACATAGGAGCAGCTTCTGAAACCTCCAACCCATCAGATATTTATCTCTTAAGTTCTAATTATCTTTAATTCTCTGTTTTGCACAGAAAGTTGTGACTTCTTGGCATTAATAAAACTTCACAACAAGTTACTAAAGGAATAATAAAAAATGGATAAAGAGCTGAGGAAACAAGGTCTTGCTGGTGAAAGGCATCCTTGCTGACCACTGAGTTACTATTTCTCAGTCTGATCTTACTCTCCTTTGGTGTACACATTTTGGAGCTACTTCAGCAGGCTCTGGCTATGAAGTAGGCACAGGAAAGCACAGCAGATGGGGCAGGAGCTGCTCATGGTCGAGTCCCTGGGCTGTTTCCCACCGCGCTGGGAGGGAGACAGGGGTTGTTACCTGTGTGATCCCAGCAGAAATCCAGCGCTCTACTGGCAAGCTCAGACCTTTAGCCGTTACACAGATTAACTCATGCTCTGTCCCTCACCTGGCAGATTTTGTACTGCTGCAGGTACTGAGGGATGACTTAACATGCTGGGACACGTCCTTGACCACGCTGGTCCCACAGATTTTCACAGAGTGGCATTAAGGACTGAACAGTGACTTTGATGTGTTTTGTCATTGAGATAAGCTCCAGCTTGCCTTCCCAAGCCCCCTGCCTCCCTCTTGCTTTCCTAATCATGCTCTGCATCTCACAATGCAGAAAAATGACTCAAGCAACACTTAGTTTTTCTTCTGCTTGCCTCACTCAAGACCTTCAGTCAGTTCTACTGGTCTGGAAGTTATTTTTAATTAAGAAAAGCAAGCCCCAGAAAGCCCGCTTCTAGCCCTTTCTTCTATTTTGAGCTGACTCCATCACATAGTCAGAGTTTATGTCACTACAGAGGACAAGGTAAAATACTACACAGGGAAACATCAGTCAAAGTCTATAACAGCTGCAATTAAATGTAGTTATAGTTATTTCTTATATTAAATTCATTAGAATTTATTAAAAGCAACCTTAGTACTAGCAACAAAACTGATTAAAGTTATCAGTCTGTTAGGCACTGTCCTAACTGCAAGGAAACAAAACTACCATATTCTACCTCATTTTTCTGATAGACATTATGGAGGCTGTTACTCACCACAGATGAAACTTAGCAAGATGAACCACCATGCACTCCTCCCCATGGCCAGCACAGCTGCAGGTTTGAGATGCTGCTTCTCACCGAGGAGTGGGTGGAAAGGGAATCGAGGTTTGCTGGGGACTGAGAAGTTTCACTTGATGCAGGGAGTGCTCAGTCACATGGCTGGGAGGGAGGTGGAGAGAGGAGGAGAGAGATGCTTCTCATCTGTAAACTACCACAGAAGGAAATAAGTGATGGTTAGGAAAGAAAATGAAAACAGAAAGGACTGTGTGGGTAACTGGGGGAAAGAGAGGCTCTCACTCTGCAGCTGAGACCTGTGGCTCTCTGCAAGGCCATGTAAATCTTCATGCTCCTCTTTCCAGTTTTGATAACCTGGTGCAGACTGCAGCTGTACCCCGGTGGAGGGTTAAGACCTGTAAATCAGTGCTTTCCCCACTGTTTTTTTAAGAAAGTACTTTCTTAAGAGCCTAACTCTTAAGACACAGAAGTGTGATCTTGAGCCGTCTCCACAGGGCACCTGCTAAAAGCGAGACAGGGCTGAGCAAAGCCCCAGACAGGCTCTGGTCCCAGTTGGGGACTATCAGCATCCTTTGCTGGTTCAATCCTGCTCCAAGCACTGAGCTTCTTCAAGGCGGATCAGCCTGGGTGGCCCACTATTAGTGCTGGGTCCAAACACAACCCTCAGCAAACAGCAACGACCCACCTCTGTCCCGTGAGATGCCTCCTGCGATCCATGCAGGACAGGAGGTGCTCAGACCACGTACCACACACCAGAGATCTGCAACGGGCGAGCGTTACGCCTGCCCACATGTGCTGCTGCATTTCCAGCCCTGGGCCTTTGCCTTGGGGCCTGCTTGAGGTGGAGGGAGCAAAGCAAGCCCCACACCGGGAATCTGGTGTGCTCCTCGTTCTTTTTCTCATACCAGTATTGAAGTGCAGTAGCATGATAAGGCCAATTACTTGAAAACTCAAATAAGGTGAAGTTTGCCCCCAGAAATCTGGGTACTGGCTGAAATTAGTTCCAACTTATTTTGTTCTCTATATTTGCATTGTGTTTCTACATTCTCATTTTTTCCTCCTTGCCCTTCTACATGATCCACAACATGCATGTGGGTCAGCTAGTGATCTCTAATAAGCCACTGGTAGCCAAAGGTATGCAGATATCTTGGGGGTAACTATAACTACAACTTCCTTGCCTCACAGCTGCAGCATTAACATACACAAATCTGAACTGTTTGTGTGCAGCTTTTGCACTCTCCTCTGAGTCCCAGGGATTCAGGAACATGACTAAAGGGTAAAACCCACCTTGTGCCTTTTGTGACATGTGTGTTGGACAAATAAAATTATCTTGGGCAGACGTTTTGGGATTTTTTTCCAGCTGTGCTGATGTGCCTTTACTGACACTCGTTTCTTCAAAAATAGCAAGAAAGCTCCTATGTGTTATTACTTCATATAGAGACACCAACCACAGTTTCGTACTAGATATAACTTTTATAAATTTCAAAGAAAGTGTGGTTCTACACACATCAGAATGGCCTAATTACAGAAAGTTCATTTGCACACTTTTTTCTTCTAATAAATTCATACATTCTGCCTTGACTGGAAAAAAAGGACAGGTAATTCTGTGCTCTTTCC